ACTCACTCATAAGTGAATCCTGAACATTTATAATACTATAAGAAAGGGATTAAGCCGGGCTCGGTGGCTCAGCCTGTAATCCCGCACCTTTGGGAGGCTGAGGTGAGTGGATTGCCTGAGCCCGCGGGTTTGAGACCCGCCTAGGCAGCGAGACCTCATTTTATAAAAATAAAAAAAATCAGCTGGGCATGGTAGCGCATGCCTGTAATTCCGGCTACTCGGAAGGCTGAGGCGGAAGGATCGCCGGAGCCCAGCAGGTCGAGGCTGCGGTGGCCGGGAGCGGCCACTAGACTCCAGTCTGGGTGACAGAGTGAGACTCCAACTCAAAAAAAAAGGGGGGGGGGATTGGCAGTAGTGGGTCACTGCCGGGGGGGGCACATAACATCAATAAGGGTACCCACACTTTACCTGTATAATAACCACATATGTACCTAACCCTGAATTATACTCTACATTTTAAAAATAAGGAATAAAGATAAATAAATAAATACAAAATAAAATAAAAAGACTTGGGTCTTCTCTGAAAAAAAAAATTAGCCAGGTGTGGTGATGCACATCTGTAATTTCAGCTATTTGGGAAGCTGAAGCAGAAGGATTCCCTGAGCCTAGGAGGTCAAGTCTGCAGTGGCCTTGAGTGTGCCACTGCACTCCAGGCTAGGCGACAGAGTGAGACTCCGACTCAATAAAAAAGATGGCTATGGAAAACATAAAGATATTTACAATGTCACTGAGAAGCAGCAAAATGCAAATTAAAGCTGCAATGCTACAGGATTCTTCTGAGATTAAGAAGGACCAAAAAGGTTGATGGGCCGGGTGCAAGGGCTCATGCCTGTAATCCCAGAACTTTGGGAGGCTGAGCAGGAAGACTGCTTGAGCCCAGGAGTTCAAGACCAGACTGGGAAACAGAGCGATACCTCATCTCTACAAAAAAAATTTTTAAATTAAATGGATGTAGTGGCACGCACCTGTAGTCCCAGTTTCCTGGAAGGCTGAGGCAGGAGGATCACCTAAGCCCAGGGGGTCAAGACTGCAGTGATCCATGATTGCACCACTGCTCTCCAGCCTGGGGACAGAGCAAGACCCTGACTCAAAAAAAATAAGGTTGATAATACATTGTATTGCTGAAGCTATGGAGGAACAGATCTTCAAATCCCTTGTGGTTAGGGGCATCCGATTAAGCCAGCTTCAAGGAGGGAGCAGTTTGACAGTATTTATGGAAACACAAGAGAACATCATTCCGTGTTTCTCATTGGGAGACGGAAGAGATACCATGGGAGATTTTTAGCTGTAGATTTCGATTTTTTTCTGCACCTTTTGAATTCTGTACCATGTATTTGTATATTTAAGACAACTTTTAGCCGGGCATGGTGGCGCGTGCCTGTAGTTTCAGCTACGTGGAAAGCTGAGGCAGAAGGATCGCTTGAGCCCAGAAGGTCAAGGCTGTAGTGACCAGGAGCGTGCCACTACCCTCTAGCCTGGGCAACAGAGTGAGACTCCAACTCCAACTCCCAAAAAAAAAAAAAAAAAAGACAACTTTAACATTCTCATTTAAAAGGAAGGAAGAGGTATACTCTAATGCACCCAGGCCCCTTAAAAACATTTGTTAGCAAGAGCTCCCCCTCAAAAATCTGACTGATCACCCACACTGCATAACCAGCTGCCAAGTCTTACCCATCTGACACCCCCACTGGTGGCCCAAATAGAATCCTTGGCAAAATATGTAATTTTAATCTTTTATTTTATTTTTCTTCTTGGCAAAATATATAGCCGAAGTTGGCGTGCTCTCTATGTACAGGGCCAGGTAGTAAATATTTCACTCTGTCGTAAGCGCTCGATTCTGCCAGAGTAAACAAGTGAACAGGATTGTGCTCCAAGAAAACCTTATTGGGACTCTGAAATCTGAATTCTATATCGCTTTCACACACCAAAAAAAAATTCCCTTTAAGTTTTTCAACCTCTTAAAAATGGCAAAAATTCAAGACCCGCCTGGGCAGCAAGACCTCATCTCTACAATAAATCAAAAAATCAGCCGGGCGTGGTAGCGCGCGCCTGTAATTCCAGCTACTCAGAAGGCTGAGGCGGAAGGATCGCCGGAGCCCAGCAGGCGAGACTGCGGTGGCCGGGAGCGGCCACTGCATTCCAGTCTGGGCGACAGAGTGAGACTCCAATTCAAAAAAAAAAAATGGCAAAAACAATGTTAATTTGGGGCCATATAGTAACAGGAATGGCCACAGCTGACCATTCCCAACACAGAGGATGAGAGTGCAGGCTCAGGGAGAGGAGGTGCGGGGTGACAGTCTTCCAAGACTCCCTACAGGGAGCTGGGCACATCACTGCACTCAGCAAGCAGCCTCCTTGCTCTGGTTCTCACCGGTGAAATGAAGCATAAAAAGACCTCCTAGGGTTGTCAGGAGACTCTTGGCGGGGTGGAGAGGGTGATCATCGAGGCAAAGGACACCCCAGAGAGTGGACAGAGTGTCCTTGTCCTCCTTGCTTTCTCTCCCACCTACAACCAATCCATCTGCAAGGCTTGTGGGTGCCACCATCAAAATGGCATCCTGACCAGCCTGGGCAACATGGCAAGACCTCATCTCTACACATAATTTTAAAAACTGGCCGGGCATGGAGGCACGTGCCTGTAGTCCTAGTTACTTGGGAGGCTGGGGCAGGAGGATCACTTGAGCCCAGGTGTTGGAGGCTGCAGTGAGCCATGATCATGCCACTGCACTCCCGCCTGGGCAGCAGAGTAAGACCTCGACTCAAAAAAAAAAAAAAAAAAAAAGGCATCCTGACTCCATGACCTGTCACCATCCCAACTCTGCCCTCCTCCTGGATCCAGCCACCATCACCTCCTTGCCCCACAGGCCGTCCCCAACACTGGCAGGCAGGGATCCTGCTAGAACTAGCACCACCACATCCCTCAGAGCCTTCCCATGGGCCCTGCCTCATCCAGAGCAAAAGCCAAAGTCCTTATGATGGCGACAAGGCCCTGTCACCTCTCTGGCCTCACCTCCCACCCCCTACCCTTGGCTCACAGTGTTGTTCCTTGAGCTTGCCAAGCACGGTGCTGCCTCAGGGCCTCTGCGCTTGCTGTTCTTACTGCCTGGAACCTTCTTCCAGATAGGAGATTATGTATTTCTAGACACATGGCTCACTTTCACTGAGGTGGCTGCCCAAACGTGACCTTTATGGGGAGGGAAAATAGTAGCCTTGCATCTTGCATTATCTTTTCTTCACAGCACTGTTACCTCCTGACATGTATCTACTTGTTTACCTGTGTGCTGCTTGTTTGCCCCAGAACAGGATTGAGAGAGACGTATCTGATTGCTTCACAACCCCATCCCCAGCCCCTCTTCACAGGGACTGGCCAAAGGAGTTGCGGGGACCTCAGTAAATATTTTCTAGAGATGAGGTCTTGCTATGCTATGTTGCCCAGGCTGCTCTCGAACTTCTGGGCTCAAGCAATCTTCCAACCTCAACTTCCCAAGGTGCTGGGATTACAGGCGTGAGCCACCGTGGCCGGCTGAACAAATATTTGTTGAAAGCATGTGAAGACTCATCCACCCACAGCACCCAGCACTATCCACACGCCATCCAAGTGCCTGCTCTGTGCGTGCCCATGCTGGGGGTCCTGGGAACTCATCTGTCCAGTCCTGTCCTCATAGGCCCACAGTCCACAGGGAGACGCAGACTTGTCCCCAGACAGTGATGACCCAGAGGAGGCTGGCCTAGCATGAGGGAGCCCAGAGGAGACACTGGCCCAGCATGGGGGGCAGAGGACGGTTTCCAGGAAGGGAGCTCAGAGAAGATCCCTGAGATAAGGTTACATGGGGGCACAGACCTGAATGAGTGGGAATGGAGCCCCACAGAGATGTGGGAAAAGCATTCCAATCAGAGGGAACGGCAAATGCAAAGTCCACGGAAGGGTGGCTGTGGGGCAAAGTGAGGTGGCCAGTGTGGAGGGGGGGCAGGACCTCAAGGGCTGTGGTGAGAACTTAGGCCTCTACCCCAAGTGAGACTAGAGCCGCTGGACAGTTCAGAGCAGAGGAGGGGCGGGATCTGGCTGAGGTTTTCATAGGATCTCTCTGCCTGCTACATGGACAAGAGACTAAGGGGGAGAGAGGGAAAAGCTCAGTGAGGTTACGGCAGTGGTTCAGGTAGAAGAGGATGGTGCCGAGGACAGGGTGGGGACAGCGGTCCGGGGAGCAGTTGTCACATTAAGGTATGTCTGGAAGTTTGAGAGCCCTCACTGATGGACGGTATGTGTGATATGAGGGAAACAGCAGCCGAGGGAGACGCCAAGGTGTTTCCTGATGGAGAAGACCACGTGAGTGGGATTAAGGGATATTTACATCTTCTGATTTTTTTTTTTTTTTTTTTGGGTTGG